GAATACAGCGTATTTTATAGATTTAATTATTGTGTACATTTAAACTAATTTTTTTGTAAAAAGATGTCACTCTTATTTGTCTAAAGATCAAGGAAAATTGAGGCGCCAGCTCTGATCTTGCATACCCCTCAGCAAATGTGTAGTTGCACCCCTGGGTCTGAGGAATTATTCCCACAATCCTGATTATGACTGTCAACAATAGCAATGTTGTGTATTGACTGCTCATCTGGGGATTTGAGACCGGCGTTTATTTCTTGAATTCGTTCGTTTGTCTAGGGTCAAAGATGCTTGTTAGGAACTGCTTTTCCTCACGGAAGCTTTGTCTTTAAAAAGTTATTTACTTATGTGGCAAGTAGTCATGCAATAAATCGTGTAATATGGTTGTTATTGCAAAATAAACCTCTTAAGGGTGACTGCTTTGGGGTCCTGATCACCCTGTCAGGGTTTATTTATTACACCCATAATAATAATAAGTTGATCCAGAGACTTGAGCCATAAATGCCACTCAGAGACTAAATAAGAGAGCTGCAAAAACACTATCTGATTGGCTGATGGCAACAAGAACTAGAGCCAGTCCGTCCTATAGATGATATATGTGGTTGCAGCCTGCAGACCTCATCATAAAGTAGTTGTAATATGAAGTTGAAGTTATATAAATATAAATGTATTTACCTGTAAATATGAAAGTACATTTATAGCTCTGACTGGTTTTAAATTGTAATTTTGGTCACCCCTGAAATGGGTCATACCATGACCTGAGCAGTTGAATTACATACACAATAAAGCCATGCTTATTTAGGAACCTGCATGCATTGTATGAGTGAAGAAAGAACATAATGTAAGTGTTTAAAATGCATATACACAGTTGATACACTCTAATATACACATCAGAGAGTCCTTTGTACCAGACAGGCTCAGATATACTGAAACATAGCTCATTATGTTTCCAGTTTCATTTCTGGACATGTCTACTTCTCTTATTAGGCTTGAGTCAGATATCAGTGATGGAAGCCACCGGCTCAGTTTAATTTTTTTTCCGTAACGGTCAAAAAAAAATCCTTATTATTGATTTTTCTGGAGCTTAACCATCCAGCTGCACAGACAGTCAACAGACTCTTAACAGGTACTTGATTTCCTTAATTAAAATCTCTGTAAATTTGAACTTTAAAATTGTAACCGGTCTTATTTTTTTTCTTCTTTTTATCAGTTTTGTAACAGAACATGTAAGTGTAATCAGCCAGAACATGTTCAAATGAGGATACTTCTCACCTCATCTCCACTAAGCATGCAAATAAGTGACAGAAATACTGAATTTATGATCTGTATCGTTAGAGTTTTCAATAATTACTTGGGTTTATGCCGAGTCACAAAATCACTTTTATCACTTTTACCTTTAAACACTTGAAGGGCTCACATATTGCCCATTTTGGCCTTCATGACCTTAATAGGGCATGACTTAATTTTTTTATTGATTATTATTTTAATTAAATTCTTTGAGGTTCACTTATAGTGATAATAAAGTTATCAGCGCCTGCTTGTTTCTGATTGTTTTTATCTATATAAATCCGTAATTCACAGTGGCATGCACAGACCTCCGCTGGGGTGGGGGTGAAATATACCGCATACCTCGACCCAAACTGTGTTTCTGCTGAACTTCAATACTTCAATAGGACACATTAATACATCTGAAAGGAATTTTAATAATAGCAATGTAAATAAAGGAGTGACAACCAATACGAGTGAAGACGTGTCAGTGGCGCTCACATGTTGCCCATCTCGAGTGCAAGCAAGTAAGGACAGAGAATTTAGGGTGCGATTTCACTCTTCTATATGATTTGTCAGCCCGGTCTCATGAAAATGCGTATAAATAGTACGCCAAATAAAAACAAAAACTCGTGGTATTGATACGCAAAAATGGACTTTGGCGTGCATATGATACGCATGTGTTTGGCGTGCATATAATACGCAGTTTTCACGTGCATATGATACGAAATTTGTTGGCGTGCATATGATACGCAGTTTTCGCGTACATATGATACGCATCTACCCCACAACCCTAAACCTATACCATCGCGTAGCATATACACGCCAAAGTGCATTTTTGCGTATCAATACCACGAGTTGTCGTTTTTATTTGGCGTACTATTTTTACGCATTTTCATGAGATCGGGTTGGATTTGTCTGTAAACAAAGACATGAATATATGGATGTATGAATGAGTCATCTGAAACTGTATATTGATATATACTGTATGTGTGTATATTTATACATACATAATAAATATACAAAGTACACACACATATATTATGTAAACAAAAATGTTTATTTTGGATGTGATTAATCGCGATTAATCGTTTGACAGCACTAGTATTTTGACATAGACAGTTGCTGTTCATATCCTGTAACCTCATAATCCACAGAGAGAAACCAAAATACACACAGAATGATGGATGTAAAGATGTCGTGGAGGATTGTAAAGATATTTCACTGAAACCTGGCCTTCATTACATTTATTTTGTTTTATTCATTTTTGCATTTATTTATGGTCAATGTCAGTTAACATTTATTAATGTATTCAGCTAATAGTTTTAGAGGACTGTCATTTTTGCTAGTTCCCTATGTCAATAAAAAATAAATGTACCAAACTGACAACTTGCTATATATTTTTTTTAATTAGATTGTGTGGCAATAGTATATCTGAATATGCCTGATGAAGGTCATGGGACCGAAACGTGAATAAATCTTTTTTTTGGATATGTTCGCAAGTATACTGACTGTGTGCAGGATTTATTTATTTATTTTTATGTAAAATGAATGTTCTCTTTTATTTTTTATTTATTTATTTGTTTATTTTTAATGAGAGAGAACCCCGTTTGTTGCAGACCCTATTGGGGGGAATTGGAAAGATGAATTGGGGGTCCTTCAGAGACTTTAGCTCAGCATCATCTTCACAAACTTTAAATTCTTCCAGAAGCATCTTGTGATCTTTTTAGGTGTGAAGATGTCACCCCCTCAGTAGGTGAGCGAGGCAATAAGGAATTGCACTTTTGGAGGGAAAGTTTATGATACTTTGTCTTCTGTTTGCATATGAAATTTAATTGGGTGATAGGGGAAAAACGTTCAAGATTCTTATAATACTAAGATGTAAAGGTGTTTGCCGAGAGTTAATACAAATGACAAATTACATTAATACAAAATTAACAGGAAAATCATGAGATGGGAAGATCTGATGTTTGCTTGGATTGCTTTGTGCTTATATATTTCTCAAGTGGTTATATATAATGTATATGTAACGGAGGGAACACAGGAAGCGTGCAGATCCATCTGCAAGGCTTTATTCACAAGAGACGTGGTCAAAAACAGGCATAGGTCAGACAATGGCAAACAGGTATATTGATGGCAAGGCAAGAGGGATAATCCAGGTACAAGGCAAAGGTCCAGGAGCCCTCCGTGGGCTATACTCGGGAAGAGGAGTCCTCCCTGGTAGGGACTGGGACCTGGGGAAAATTGAGGCACAAGAGACAGACAGAGCATATACGGTCTCATGGATGGGACAGACAGTTCTTTCACAAACGGCTTCCATAGCCATGACAGGACGAGCAGAGAGTTCGCAAACGGCCTCTATAGCCGTGACAGGATGGGCAGTGAGTTCACAGACGGCCTCCATAGCCGTGACAGGACTATCGCTAGATGAGTGGAAAATGCAGAACAATACACGGCGATCTGAACAGGAACTGAGAGAGTGTTAAATAGTGTGTGTAATGGCTCTCAGGTGAGCGTGTGAAATGTGACGGCTGTGTGATCAGTGAATTCAGCTGTGTAAGTGCAATGAATGATGGGAACTGTAGTCCGGAGTGACATGTAACAGTCTGTGTAGTGTGAGAGTCAATGTAATGGTAGAATGACCTCTAGTGGCAATCGGCCGGAAGGCCACGGACCGGATTCGTGACAGTATAGGATTAAAAGGATTTAATTGTCTGTTTCAAAGTGATAGTGAAACACACTCTAAATTCCTTTGGGTTGTAAAACAGTCTTATCTCGCTGGTGTGTCTTTTCTGCTCTGGTAACCAGAGGACTGGTTCTGGATCTGGGTGTTAGTTGCAGGTTGCAGTTCCTCTGACAGCTAGTTTGGTTGATGGGTGATGGGTCTTATGGATTTTTTATTAAATATAACAAATCATTTAGTGTCTTATCTTTAGACACTACATCACCCAGTGCTTTTGCCATAAATGTATTGCCTTGCCATGATGAAATCAATCGAGATATCAAACATATGATTGTAAATGAATAGGTCGAAACTAAAATCAATCAAATCAATCAATGATAATAATAATCCTTGGCAAAACAAGCTGAAAAAGAAGTGACTTCGTCATTCAGTATGGATAAAAACAGCTGACTGTTTGTGAATTCTGAAGTCTCTATTAAAATTGCCATAATAATGAGATGCAGCATATTAACAGGATTTTGAAAAATCTAATTTATTAAGTTCACAAGTGCAGCTTGGAAAAGAGATAAGAATTTTCCTTGAAGTTGGAAAAAATGGTAGTGCAAAGCAAGACAATTTAAGCATGCTGGATTTTCTGAGATATTCAAATTAACACCTAGGAGTAAGAAATGAAGTAAATCCTTCTGTGCATTTGCATATTACATGTTCAAATAGCCAAATGGAAAGCAACATATCAAATAGGTGAACCCTTAATTGGAAGGTTTACTCTAGACCGAGCCAGCAGCCCTTGAAATAGGGTAAAACTTTAAATGAGTCAGTTCCATCAAGCTGTTTTATATTATACTGTACATGTGCATTCAGCAAGTTCTTGAGTTAGGACATTTTCTTCAAAGAAGTTTTTGACTACCCATTTATTTTAACTTGTGAATTTGAACTTATTATGAGCACTGAACAATGAAATATTTCAGGAGATACACAGAAACCAAAATACACCTTTTGGGCTTTAAGAACTACACTGACTTATGAACTTCTGCTTTCATTCTCCTCTCCACAGGAATTGCGTACCGAGAGTGTCTGGACAATGGCACGTGGGCACTGAAAAGTAACTACTCCAACTGTGAGCCCATTTTAGAGGAAAAGGTGGGTAAATGTGCAATAAAACCTGAACTGGACATTAATTTTATTTTCTTTCTTTCTTTCTTGCTTTCTTTTCTTATGCCTTTACATGAAGTTTTAAATACAGCTGTCAAGTGAGTTACAGTAAATTTGACACCCTTCGTTTGATCTGTTTTCCAACAGGGAATGCTGTAATAACATTTCTCCCATTGTCCTCTGCACCAGCTGCAGTGTTTACTCTACTGTTGTTTCATGTTTGAATATGTTCTTGAATGTGAATATATGAAACTTGAATATGGTCTTTTATAAGTCAATAAGATAAAAAAAAATTAAATACAATAAAATACAATAAAAATAAAATATAAAAAAATATATAAAATAATAAATAAATATATAAACTAAAAAAAATAAAATAAATTAAAATAAAAAAATTATTCTCTTTGCCAGATTTGTGCAGTATATATATATATATTATTTACTTACTGAAAGCAACTGCAAATGTTTGATCAGATATTGCAATGTCAATGCTTTTACTTTATGTTGTTTACAGAATCCACAATGCCTCTGGCCTTACATTCTGAATGACATGCATAGCATGTAATCCATTTGGCTCAATTATTTTTCTATCATCGCATGTTATGGAGTAGCCTATATTTGACATAAAAAATAGTAAGCATATACATAGTATTGGATGCTGTGTAACTGATATATAGTCTTCATCTTACTTCTCACTTCACATGACTTCTGCGTGCAAGCATTATGCAAAAGCACAATTGGATGGCTTTAGTGCTGTGTCACAAGTTTTATGACCTCATTCAAGGACTCATGAGAAATATAGAAATTAATCTGTTTCTAGTCTTTTGGAAGCTTCCATAAAATATTGGTCACTGATTTGTGCCATAATTGCAATCATTTATTATCATTTCATATGTTAGGACACTGAGTTCCTTCATTAATCTTTTTATTTATTTATTTTTTACAGAGGAAGTACCCCATGCACTACAAGATAGCCCTCATCATCAACTACTTTGGGCACTGTATATCTGTTGGAGCTCTCGTTATTGCCTTCATTCTCTTTCTGTGCTTGAGGTAAGTGTGTTGGTGTATTTTCAGCACCATACATTCTCAGAAATAATGCTGCAAAAGCTGTCACTGGGGTGTTTCCTTTTCAAAAGGTACATTTTGTACATAAAGGGTCCATTTTGGTACCTCAAAGGTATATATTAGTACTTAAAGTGTACATATTTAAACCTAATAGGTACAAAAGTGTACCTTTTAAAAAGGTACCAGCCCAGTGACAGCTTTTGTAACTTTATTTCTGAGAGTGTAGTGTGAGAGTAATACCTTGTGCTGAGGCCGTGCTTAAAGCTAAGAAATGCTAATTCAATGAAAGTAAAATTTATATATTATGAAAATGAAGGAAACTTAGATTCTAATGAGGATCATATATACGCAGTTTCTGTCAATATTTACTCTAATTGGATGAGCTAAGGTTGCTGATGTGATGCCCACACAAACCACAATATTTTGATAGCACCACAGTCACAGTGTTTCCACTCCTCAGGTGAAATTGACGCATGAATCACTTGAAAAATAAATTAAACACATATTCTTTAAATATGCAGGCTTCATAGAAAGTGTTACTGAACATTTCCTTAAATACATGTTCAGAATTCTTAATCTTTTAGAAACGACTGTTGTTGCTAACTCTGTCTCTGGCTCCTCTTTGCACAGTTTCATATTCATGCATATGTAAGTCCTTAATCAGCTCATGCAATGCTAAATCTGGGTCACAGTGTAATTTCTGAAATGATTGTTTCATTGATTTATCTGTTTAAATTCAAGGAGCATCCGATGCCTTCGCAACATAATCCACTGGAACTTAATTACGACTTTCATTCTGAGGAATGTAATGTGGTTTTTGCTTCAACTGATTGACGAAAACATTTATGAGACGAATGAGGTATGAAACACTTCTAAACTTACTTTTCAGCCTATTAGTAGGTTTCTAACATTTACATTTATAATGTTGCCAGTCGATTCCTCACCAATATTGTATTACTGTATTACTGAAGGTATTGCATGGGGTATTTTTTCTTTGCAAAACACTTTAGTGTTATTTTAGTCTGCTGGTATCTAGTGCCTCATTAGAGTCTTTCAGCATTTTTATTTCAAACTTGACAAAGTAATTGACAGTGAAGAGAAGAGATCAAAAGTCAAACTTACTTCATTTTGCAGTGTTTCTAACATACAATGCTAATTTAGACTCTAAAAATGACTGTTGTCGAAAGCTTCACTGAAGAACAAAGGAACAACGTGTTCATTGAGAGTGACATGAGAGGAGTGCTTTCCAAAGCAAAAGACAGATAAACAGCCTTGACGAATGTCATTTCAAAATATACACTTTAGGTACTAAAACGTACCATTTAGGGGTAAATAAGGTACAAAGATGTACCTCTTAGTTTACAGTACTGCCTCAGTGACAGCTTGTACCTTTTTCTGAGAGTGTAAAGAGTCAAAAAAACACAACTGATAGATGCTGTTTCCATGAGTTCAAGTTATAGCACCTTATAAAACACATTATAAAATGTTTGAAAAACCTGAGACGTGAGGTTGTTTTATGACCTATAAAAGGTTGTATTTTAGCATCAAGTCTGTAAAAGGTTTGCAGTGTTGAAAAACATCCTTATATTCACCTCAATTAACACCCTGTTCCTTTCTCTCTGTACAGCCCTGGTGTCGTCTTATAACAACAATCTATAATTACTTTGTGGTGACCAATTTTTTCTGGATGTTTGTGGAGGGCTGCTATCTTCACACGGCTATTGTGATGACATATTCCACAGACAAGCTTCGGAAATGGGTCTTCCTTTTCATCGGATGGTGTGAGTTGATTTCTCTACACAAGTCTGCTTATTTTGAAAGGCCTCATCATCTGCAATTTGCACTGAATAAGAAAGCTGAAACGTAGTCTGCTATTCTTTTTGGTTTATTTGGAACATTTCCATCTTTCGTGTGATTCTTGTGAATATCACAAAGCATGTGGACATTGCAAAGGTACTTAATATGCCACGTAGAGGAAACACTTTCGGCTTGATGCCACAGAGTGCTTTCAAGGTGAGGATGAGCACACAAAAGCATTAGTTAGCATGCTATGAGTTTAAGCTAACATAGCTTATCAGCTAACACTGTTTACTGATAGCCTGTGAAAAGCTCAAATTTTTTTATTTCATTGACGTGGGTAACAGGGATGACATAGATTAGGTGTCACCCGGTTTTTAAAGATTGTGTAAAGTGCAAACATGTTTAAAGGTCACACTAGGTGTGATTTTATCATTCAGTGGCATATGGGCATGAGTTACATTTTAGTTAGTATTATTGGTATTGTTACTATTACTGTTGTTGTTAATGACCTGGATAGGATGGTCAGTCACAATAAAACTATTTTTTTCCATAACTCATTGTCAATAATGCATCCATGTAAATTCAGTTACAAACAAGAGCAGCAACTGCATCTTGCAATGTTCAAGAAAGCAATGTTAATTTTGACAGCAAATTTTGATTTAGTTTTAGTCATAGTCTTTTGACTAAAATGCCATTTATTTTTAGTCATATTTTAGTCATCTTAATTGTTTTTAGTTTTAGTCTAGTTTTAGTCGACTAAATATCATAAGATTTTAGTCGACTAAATCTACAGTAAATTTAATTGGCTAAAATCTAATGGGTTTAGTTACAGTGCATTTATGAAGCATTTCTCTAAAATTTCCAAACTCATTATATAGGTTTGATATTGTGTCAGGTTTTATCATGATAGACACCGATTTAACTGCGGTGACACACAACATGCCTTTAT